CCTTCTTTTTAACTGTAGTGGCTAGTACATTAAAACCAGAGACAGTTAACATCCTCTGGACCTTAACTTATGACCTCAAAGGCATTGGTTTGCTTTGCAGAACAACTTGACGGCATTGGCTGGTTTTAGGAAGTAGTGGGATAGGTTGGAGGGTTGAATGAAAGCTACGCTTAATCTACATTTTCCCATTCAAACGGGAAAAAAACCTGAGAGCCAGAACACCCTAGAACTCACACCTTCAAGGAACATAAGCAGGTTGGCTTACTTTCAGTCTCCTGAAACTGCGAAGTGAACTTTGCAGGCTTCATGCAGTTCTATCAATATCATCCTGTCAAAAAAAAGATGAAAGTCTGCCGCTGATTTGTTCCTACCTCCTTGGCAAGAGTCACAAACTCTGCAATACAATTTAGCACTGAAAGCAAAGGGTAGTAGTTCCTGCCTTGACACACATTTACCTGTTCATAAAATTCATTAACAATGCCTTCTGTCCACTGCAGGTGCAATTCTTTGCATTTAGCAGGCCCGTTGATGTCAGCCAGTTTGATGCACATTTGACAAACAAGCATGCGGTCATTCTCATTACTCCAGTCAATTCCAACATCATCGTTCACCTGGACGATACATAACCAGGATGAAACCATTACAATAGCACTGGGTAAAGGATGTGACTGTAGAGAAAATCCTGCCTTAAGATAGGCTTAAAATATGCTAAGGTACAGAATACAATCTTCAGAACAAATTTAGCCAGACAAAAAATGGTCTAGTTAATGTTTTGAGCTCCTTTTCAAATGTTTTCTCCTCTGTGAGCATTTAGACTGTCCAACAAATTAGGAGAACAGGGGTGGAAGGGAGGGAAGGGAAGCTGTCAGCTGTCATTACAAATCTATAATGTTAAACCAGGACACACTATCTATAGCAGCCTGTGCATCTGATTCCCTCTACTTGGAGATGGCAAATACCATAATCATTCTTTACATTTAGTCAGACCACGCATACTCCTTGTTGACAACCCCTGTACCAATCAGTGATCCGTTTGCCTATTTCTAAAATCTCACATAATTTATCTCTGGCTATGGGGGTGCCACAAGTTTTACCTCATCCATTTTTGGCTACACAACCTCAAATGTGAAAACTTATGGTCTGGAGAAATGACACATTTACATGAATGATAAGCAGCTATCTACTGCATGTTGCTACACTGCCCTAGGATAGATGTATTCTGTGTACTCCAGATCCCAGTGTAATTTACAATGGTGTACAAATCCAATACAACTTACACTCTTGTGAACACATTGTCTGTCCAAGCCCTTTTGCTAAAATTCTCAAATCCAGGGGTTTAAAGGTAGATACCAAAATATACCCAAAATTCTATAGCACCAGGGCCAGTGGATTACAACAGAATTTAACCTGGGCCCAATCTGGATCTGATTTTTGGAGGGTTTGAGGAGCTACAGATCCGTTTCATGAAGAAGTAACAGCACTCAGCATTCCTAAAAATCAATCCATGACTTTAGCTGCATACCTGAGAACTTTGGCATTGGTTTGGAACACAGTAAAACTGTTTATTTTGGGGAATTTAAAGGCAGCAAGCAAGAGAACAGTTACAGAGAGAACTGCACTTTGGTAACTTACAGACTTTTTACATGCAATTTCTACTTTGACATATCTATAGAGAGTGCAAACAACACCTTTCATCTCAAAAAGGCATTCTTTTATTATTGTTGTTCTAATAATATTACTACTACTGCACCATCTAAGACACATGGGGTATTTATACACATGCTCTGGGAGTGTGTGTGTGTGTGTGTGTGTGTGTGTGTGTGTGTGTGTGTGTGTGTGTGGAGTGGGTGGGGGGGAAATCGATGCTTAATCAGAATGGCTCGGAGAGCCACTCTAAAGTGCCCAAAGCAGAATGTGTATCAGTGTCCCTGCACTGAAAAACGGAGGCAGGGGTGCTTTAACCGAAGCTCATTGAACAAGCTTTAGTTAAAGCGCCCCCACACCATTTTTCAGTGCGGGGACACGGGTACACACGATGCTGGAGAATGGTAATTTCTGCACTCCAGCAGACTCAGTTAATTACAGTGCCATGGAGCAGCCTTGCTGCATGTGACTAGGTGCCCCTAGTCAGGGAGAAGGACCTCTTTGTGCTAGATTCTGTACAAACACAGAACAGCAATAACAACAAGACAATCCCTGCCAAATGATGCACCTCATTATCTAGTTAAAATAATTTATCACTGGTGAATTGCAGTCTCCTCTTAGTCATGGCAGCATCTCCCCAAACCACCATTTCTCCTCTGCCCTAAGATAGTTCAACTCAGTGCCAGAGCAAGGAGGAAAGGGAAAAACTCCCCACTTATGGGAGTGTACTGAGCACCAGTTAGGACACTGTCTATCATCTCCATTCCTTATGCAATCAGCAGAACACAGGCCTTGTTTTATCCCAGGGTCTGAAACAGCAAATAGGATCTAAAAAATCATCTGTGCCACCACATTCAATAAGCAAATATCAAAAGTCCCAGACAAATATTTAGCAGAAATAACTTTTACAGCTTTAGAAAGAAAGGTGCAGGAAGAAAAGCAACATAACCTTTCAAGACTTTCATTGACTATACACTGAAAATTTGCATAAGTCTTTTTACCTTGGCATTGAATTTGGCTATAAAATCAAAGTGTTTCTTCAGATCAGTGGCCAAAATGGCCTCAATTACAAGAAACCGGAAATGCTTGAATTCCACATGGTCGAGATTGACTAAGAAGTTATACTCTGGCCTGGACATGAAAAGATTCCACGCAGCAGCTGCATGATGATTCTCCAAAACAGAGCGGTCATTATACAGCACAGCCTGCAGAAGCAAAACAGTGAATAATCTTAGCATATCAAGTATAAAAAGCAAGAAATAAGAATTACAATGTGGAATGAAACCAACTTCAACTGGCTAGAGAGAGAGTCAAATTTCCCCATTTCTGAAGAATTTGATGACATCTCTTAAACTGAATTGTTACTAGTAATAGTAGTGACTATCTTTCTGGATTGAAAGAGCCAAATTTTACACTCCAAAGGGTCTCTCATTCCTTTTTGACCAGTACCATATGATGAGTTACTGTACTTTCTCACATACCATATGTCCCAAATAACACGCCCACCACCTTGTTTTTGGGAAGGCAGATGATGGAAATTTTTTTTTCAGCGCTATGGCTCAAAAAGCAGGGGCACAGCTTACCCTCCTTTTCCTACTCAGGAAAGAGTTACAGTTTTAACCTGTTCATAGCTGAATTGTCAACAACTCTTGGCTGATCAGCCAAGAGTTGAAACTAGCTGGTGCTGACAACTGAAATCTATGGGTGGATCTAGGACTGTGGAAAGAGCTAAAAAGCCTTCCGGACTGTGAAATAGCAGGAGCAAGACCAGGAGTAGTTAGCAGACAGCAAAATTGCTGAACAAAGGATGGCTTGCTTAGTGGAGCATTGAAAAAAGAGACAGGGTCATTAACACCTGTGGACTGAAGAACAATTACCTGGAATCAAGTAGTTTACAATGAGCCCTAAAGTCAACTGATTTCTGCAACACTACCCAAATAGAAAGGCTACAATTGCTGCTGGGCACTTGGTTTTATACTTTGGGTAGAGAAGGAATCAAAGCAGGGTGTGACTCTACCACTTCTTCCCACCCTGAATCTGGCGTGGCCAGAATTCACTTCTCTCTTCACGTGGCTCCTGGAGGAAAAAGGTTGAAAAAACCAGCAGCCATGTTACAGCATCTTATGGCCATGTTACACCTGGAAAAAAAAAAATCAGCTTCCATGCTTAAGACATGTGCCACAACTTTGGAAAGCTAATTTTTGGGGTAAAGGTGAGTGCAGTATACAAGAAACCATTGTAATCTCTGTGGCAGAATACCAGCTCTGTCTCTCTCCAAACTCTGCTGTCTGACAATTTGGCTACCATGGTCACTGCAGAGGGCAGACTCCTCTTGTCCCATCTGCTTCAGGTAACCCTGAGTTGTAACCTGATTTGGATACGTTCCTGAAGGAGAGGGGAAACCTGCTCCCTCTGCCTATGCGACTGGCATCACATACCTGGGTGAGGGGCTTACGCTCCATATTGTTCTAAGCAATGCCAACATGACTGGGAGGGGGCTAAAGACCCTGCAGTCTACCTGGCAACCAGTGGTGCATTTCAAATTGGATGGCTGGCAGCCAGCAGTTGCTGGCCATCATTGGACCAGGTGAATTAGGTCATAAGGGCTATATAAGTGAAGGACTGCCCAGGAGGAGGGGCGGTAGCCATGATGAAAACTCACAGAGAAGCTGGACTATTTGAAACTTGCTCTCTCTCTCTTGAAACTGTGATTAATGAACTGCTTGCCTCCAGAGGGAATCTCCACCTGCCTCTGGATGATACTTGTGAGTAAGCTACCGAGATCTAACTAGATATATAGCTTGCAGTAACTCAGACGCGTGACTGATCAAAGGCTACTGTGCCACTGTTTGCTCTAAGGTATTTCTCTGATATTGCTCTACCCTGTACCCTATTCCACACCTACTACTTGTAACCAATAAAGTTCTCTTTTGTACCTAGTGCGGGAGACTTATTGGGAGAGGGTCTAGATAATGCTGTGGGGTCCCCTTGGTTCAGCTGACTAAGGGAGACTGTTATTTGTGCTTTGGGCTGAGGGAAGCACCCCAAGTTCTTGCAGTGGGTCAAGTACCCTCAAGGACTACTAGGCCTGTGTTTCCCAGAGGGCGCAGGTCCCAGATCAGGCGAGACTCTGGTGGTGGCGGTGTTACCCCCAGGCTTGTGGGTGTGCTCCAGGAAGGGAGTAAGCCAGATGTGAGGCACCCCCAGGGAGGCACTCGGCGCCTGGAAGGTGGTTGGGCGCAGTGAGGTGGGTGGTTCAACACAAGAGTACCCCGTACTGGCCCACCACAATCTGTTTTCGTTAATTTTTTAATGGCTATAATTAAAAAGTATTTTATGTATTTATGTAGGACTTTCTACCACTTTTCAGAGCTGGAGTCTTTAACGGTAGGGGTGTGCAAAACAGGCCATATTTGATTTGGATTTGCATTCAGCCCGAATTGGAAACAGGTTGATTTGGATCACTGTCTCAGTTTGATATGGCCAAATCCAAATTTGAAGGTTCGATGCTGATTTGGACAATCAGCGATTCGGCCATAGACTCAGCTTTAAATGTTTTTCTGCATCCCTCGAGGTACCAGGCATGGCTCGTGAATGCTGCAATGCTGCAATGGTGGGGCAGATGCAGCATTCAAAAGGAGCCTGCCCCCCCATGCGCTCAGCGATTGGGCAAGGAGGGACCCCAGGTGCGCCCCCAGACCCAGAAGGCACCAGTCGCTGAGACGGTGGGGCACATGGGGATTGGGGGGGGAGGGCAGTGTGCTCCCCGGCAGGCCCGGAAGTGCTTCTGGTCCACTACCGGGTCTGCTGCCGAGCACACTGGGGAGCCCCCTGCACCTCTGTGGGATGCTCCATCCGCCCTACCATCGCAGCATTCACAAGCTGCCTGGTACCCTGAGCTATGCAGAAAAACATTTAAAGCTGTGTCTATGTCCGAATCATCGAATCTTTATGAATCTCTGCGAATTGATTTGGAGGGTTCCGATTCAATTAGGATTGATTAAAGGGTCTCCTGATTTGATTCAGATTCAGAGATTTGGCCACCAAATCAGGCCGAATCCCTGCCAAATCTCATCAGCGACCGAAGCTTCGCACAGCTCTGCTTATTGGTTCTATCAAACCAGTATAGTTCAACAATTCCTACCACAGTTATAAGGTTTTATAAATATATGATCTCATAGAACTCTGACTATCAACATCACAAATCAGTTTAAATGCCATTTCTTCTGAAGGACTTGCTTTGGGAAATGACAGATGCTGCATTCAGAAAGCAGATTAATTCAAACTCCAAGGTGTGTGTATATATATATATATATATATATATCTCTTATGGAATTGTCCTTTACTGGCCCAGGTTTTTAAATTACTTAGTAAAATTCTGTTTGAATTACATTAATAATCTTGAATATTTAGCATAAGGTAAGAAGTACTATTAGAAAAATCACAGGGAATATAGTAGAGAGAGATTGTATTTAGTTTTGTGAAATGTGCATACACAGTTTAGCAATATAGCATAAAGTCGGTATGTTCAATGCATAGGGCTTCCCTATTAAATAGTAGAAAAATTAGCTTCTCTTTCTCCAAATGCTTTAAGCTGTTAGCAAATTCATTAGCAAATTAACCCTATCTTAAGGAAATCCTTATTCATCCTTTGTTGCTGGTGCTACTATGTATGGTGTACAATACATACACTATGCTTTGCACTATTTGGTAGAAAACAAATTGTGCAATAATAAACATATTATCTGATTCTTACAATGTCATGGTTTACATGTAATGCATCTCTAATAGACACTTTTAAAAAGGAAAAAGTTATCCTAAAAGACCTTTGGAAACACTATAATTAAACACCATATAAAAAGACAGCTAAAAACTTACCTGAGGTGCACTGGTTGCAACCAAAAAGGCATTGGTCCTTCCTGGATGATCATAGTCATGCATGGCTGCTGCTACATAAAGGGCCATCAATTCTAGGGCAGGGATATTGCCAGAAAGGCAACCATAGCTGTCATCTGTAGGAGTATACATCTTTGAAAACACGTATCCCATGTGACCATGAGTGATTCCACTATCAGAATCTAAGCAAACACAAAAAGCATCTTAAAGAAGTTTGACATCTTATTAAAATAACTCTCTCAGGAGCACATTTGGGGGTAGGGTGAATTTACAATATGCTTTTTGAGCACAATTAATCACTCAGTAGTAAATTTCATGATTTCTAATAATTTGTGTATTAAGGATTATTCTAAGTTACTGTTAGTAACCCCTGATTACACAGCATGGCTCTCTCTCTCTAAAGACTGGACCATAAAGAAAACCCCGAATCCTTTATGGTCTTTGAATAAATAGCTCAACCAGCCTAGTTGCTTGATTTTAGGCTACTTGTGCAAGTTCATTTAATGGCACAATGGAACCTGATCATAAGAATATAAGAACTGTTATTAATTGTGTCAAACCATAGGTCCAGTTTGCCCAGTGCCCTGTGTCATACAGCGGATGCTGAAAGGGAGAGTGAATTGGGCATGACCAGGGATATTTTTCTCCCCGACTGTTCCTCTCTCACTTGCAACCATTTAAGGTATAGGAAGTTCTAATTTAGAGACTCTATCCCTAACTCCCATGCTCAATAACTATGGACGCCCCTTTCCTCCAAGAATCTGTCCAATCCTTTTTTGAATCTGTCTAAATTGTCAGCCTCCACAACATCTGGTGGCAATGATCCACATTTCAATTACATGCTATGTGAAAAAGAAATTCCTTTTGTTAGTTTTAAACTTACTACCTACTAGTTTCTTTTTATGACTCCTAGTTCCTGTATTGTGAGAGACAATAAATAATAAATCCCTATTTACTTTCTCTTCACCATTTAGTAAACCCTTAACAGGCCCCCCCTTGAGTGTCTCTTTTCTAAACTGAATATGCCACATGGCTGTCAGTCTTTGTCTCGCGTCACATGGAAGCCCCTCCCTACTAGGGCTGTGCGAAACACCACCATTTCATTTTGACTTCCGTTTTGCCGTTTCGATGGGACAGTGTTTTGTTTCAAGTTTAGCTTCGAAGCACTGTTCCATTTTGTTTTGTCAAAACTGTTTCGCTGTTTTGACGTTTCGCCCATGGGCTATAATGGAGAATCACAAAACTGCCTATAACTTTGTCATTTCTTGCCTATTTGAATGAAAACAGCAGGGATGGTAGCCCCTGCTGAGGCCACAAAGCCTGTCATGTTTCAAGGAGATAGGTGCAGGGGTTTCTGGGAAACTGCACCTCAAGCTGCTGACAAGCAAAACTTGTGACATGTGTGACTGCGTGTGTTAAGGCACAGCTGTTTTTCCCTCCCTCCCTCAGAGCACTGGGACTGGAAGGGACCTCAGGGAAGGATCACAGTTACTGCCCAGCTACACATGTCAATATCAGAGCAGTCCTTCCCCCTTCTTCCTCTTCCCTCTCTTAACTTTCTGTTTCCCTGAAAGCAAGCCCAGCTTCAAAACTTGAAATGTTTCAAAACTATTGATACATTTCGAGTGCCCTCATTTTATTTCAAGGCTGTTTCAAAGCCTTTTGTTTCAATTTTGCTGTTTCAAGCTTGAAACAAGTCGAAACAGTGTCAAAACGAAACACCTGGCAAAAATTCGCCCAGCCCTACTCCCTACCTCTAATCATCCTTGATGGCCTTCTCTGGACCCTCTCTGGTATTTCTATATCCTTTTTCAAGTGTGAAAATCAGAACTGGCACAGTATTCAAGGTGTGGATTTATAAAGGGGCATGATGATACTTTCAGTTTTGTTTAAATTTCCCTTCTTAACAATCCCTAACATTTTGTTTGCCTTTCTGATGGCTGCTGAGCACTGAGTTGATATTGTCAGTAAGCTGTCCACAGTGACTCCCAGATTGCTTTCCTGTGTGATAGCAGCTAATGTAAAGCCCATCATAGTGTAAGGTTGGGATCCGTGATTCTAATCGAACCTCCTGCCATGTATACCACACGTGCTTCAAGCAACTGGTGTAGATGCCAAGTTGGGACCAACAATCAGCTGATGGTCCTAGTAGTTCCAGACTAGAACTGACAATCAACTGATCAGGGGTTCCAGCCCCGAAACTCCACTGAGGCCAGTCCCAGAGCCCCATGCACCAGGATGTCAAAACAAAATCTGCACGCAATTTTTAAAGTTTCCAGCATTCCTTGGCCTTGGGATGTAAGAGAGGCTTTGCTGCACATGCAGTCCTGATGCACTTCTCCCCAGTCCTAGGATCTCCTGCCTGAAAAGTGCCAATTGCCTCAGTCTGAAATTCCCTCTGAGCTGCAGGGTAAGGCATGCGGTTTGCCAGATTCAGGCTCCCTGCTATCCAGCACCAGCTGATGGGCTTCGCCCATTCAGCACCCCAAAAAACAGCAGCTGCAGATCCTTTCAGGGCTGCACCACATGGATGTCAGTCTGTCAACACGAGGAGAGCTGTCAACCAAGCCCTGCCATTCAGCTGACATCCGGCTGCTTGGAGGGGACTACCCTGCCACACATTCAATTTAAGATGTGATGGAAACCAGGCACAAAAATATTATGTATATTTTAAGAATAAATGTTGCGTCTCATTTCCTTTTTTGTCACAGCATTACTTGCCTGAATGTGTGGCTGGGTTACAGCATTATTAAGAGGTTAATTGTGTGTTAAGTATAATGGCTGCCGGGGACCTACTATCCAACATTCCTGAGTTCAATTTTGTTGCTGAAAATGTGGATGAGTGTGCCCTGAGAAGGATCTAGAACATACCACTTCCAGAGATGATAAAAGATCAGATGGAGAGATCAGATGGTTTGATCAGATAGGTGAGTTGTATGTTCCCATAAATGAATACCTTTCAAATACACACACACACACACACACACATACACACACACACACACACACACACAATAAATGGCAACTAAAAAAGTTTATATTGATGAAACACCTTTCCCCCCAAAACATTTTGAGCTACTTCACAAACAGTATACATGCACCACTGTTGACATGCAAAGTACACTTCGAAGAGTAAAGAAGAGGATTCTCCAGGATACAGTAGACCAGATTGATGTGCATTTCTCCATGCACACACTCTTAGTATCTATACAATTTTAAAGCAGTGCAATTCTACAGAACCAAGATTTCTGCACTGATTTTCCCTATTGCATCACTAATGTGCTGTCTTGGAAAACAGGGATTAAAAAAAAAAGATTGATTCCAGCAGTCAAAGGCACACTTTTAAAGTATAAATATTAAGCTTGCAAAGTACACTGATCAAAAACCCACTGCAACTTTTGCAGATGAATTCTTTCTAACACTGTAAGAGCAAATAATCTATACAAAAAAAAAAAGAAAAAAGAAACAACAGATTTTGTGTTAGATAGACCTGTGTTTCTCAGTCAGGGTGCTGCGGAATCTTAAGGTGCCTTGAGATTCTTTTAAGGGACAACTGGGTACCATGCAATGATAGACCAAACATAATTCACATGATAAACCCAGATATTTCAAATAGAAATCCATAGTGTCAAAAAAATTCTGCCCTGTTGTGGTATTTCGGATTTTTTTGCAACAGAAGAATTGTTCTATTATTTTTTCTATAGTCAAAGAAGTCAAAACTAAGAGCCAGCATTTTCTGAAGTGTGCTTTGAGTCCAAAAGGGTTGCAAACCACTGAGATGGACAGACAGGTCACAATATTCATCTGGGAGTTCACTACATGCAGCTTCCTCAATGAGTGATTTTTATCTATCCAATTAAACACGCACCATATTCCATTACACAAGTTTTAAAAGCACAATGCATTTAAATACCTGAATCGCTCGCTGACCCCTGGTCATTAATCACAGTTGGGAGTCCTGGGATGGGCTGGGTGGAAAGGTACCAAACAGCGTGTAGAACATCAGTTGCATGGATTCTGTTGTGATCTGTTACAAATCAAATGATACTCATTAAAACATGCTGATTATTTCTAACAGAGGGCAGAGAGCACCATCTAGTGGATCCTGTGGTGAGTTACTTTGAAGCATCTTCAAGGAAAATGATGCCCCCATCACATTTGAAAATGCAGTTTTATTTTATAATTTTGTGAGCAGTCAGCTTTCATTTTATTAGTAAACTGAAGCAGCAGGGGATTTTTTACCATCAGCTAAGGAAGAGAAAAAGTTACTGCTCCCTCCAAACAGAAGATAGAAAAGCCTTTAGCTCAAGAAAAGCTGTGTTTCTAGCTGTACATCTTCACTCCATTCTATACAGTCTGCTACTCATGTACCACATGGTATACAGACCAGGTGAAATCCTGGCTCCACTGGAATCAGTCAAAACACTCTCATTTACTGCATACATAAGGGTGCAATTCTATCAGGTCTCTAATAACAAGGGCTGTAACAGGTAGCATAGTTACTTCACCTGACTTAGCATAGCTCATGTGAGAATGGGCATACCACAACACTCAGGATATGTACACATTGCACAGATAAAAATGTCTCCTATCGGAATTTTAGCCCAAGTTCTTTACTGCGTGAGCTAATTTACCTGCTTGAGAGTGTTAGAGCCCAAGTTCTACTATAACCTTGGCTGTGACCTACACTTTGCAGTGATGTCACACAAAAATAATTGGACATTGACTGCACTCCAGTATTCTTCCTAAAATGCCCCATTGGAGGAGAGAGGAGTCCTTCTGCAATAGACAACTAGCTGCAAAAAAATCCTAGAGTATCTTCACATTGGGAACCATGGGGTATGCCTATACTCTCAACTCAGCAGTGGTCACTGCTCTAGAGGTAATTAAAAGATGAGATTCAAGGACACCTGAAGGCCAATCTGAAGAAATGTGATATTAACCATCAATTTCTGGGACACTCGAGCACCGAATTGCTCCCAAAGGTGTCATGTTGTAGAACAAGGCATTGATCATTTTGGGCAAACTCATTTCACTATGGAAGTAGATAGATGAGAGAGACAATGAGGAGAACTGTGACCAGACATCACCAGGATCTACTTCTCCTTGGAACTAAATGCTATACCTGTAGTCAAACATGCAGATCCCAGATCAGCTTCCTTAGTCATCTACAGACACACCAATGACTTCCCTATTTACTGGAAGACCAAAATCCTCATATCCAAGGGACTGCCGTCACTGCCACTGACCATGGAATATGCCCCCAGACAGATATAGGCAAGTCCAGGAACTCTGAAAACACTAATGTAAGTCTGGCTTCACAGTGGACATCTCACATCTGGGCTTGGCTTTCTAGGGTGCTTAGACTCTGAAGCCAATCAGCTGAGCTAACTGCAGGGTAGATATACCCCCTATCTGAACAGGGTAATTTGTCAAGCAGCTGCTGAGCTGTAGTCTAAAGCTATAGTCTAAAGCTGTATCAACAATATGGACAGGTATGAGCTGTCCTCAAGCTTCAAACCATCTCACTTGAGAAGGAAAATAGGATTGATGTAATTCAGTCTAGAGATTTCAGTGTGCATATGGGTGATGATGATGAGAGCTGCTCCTACTAACCCAATGGAGAAAAGACCTCAAACAGATTTCACTCTCATAACTTCCAGCTAAGCAGCAAGACAGCAAGAGATAAGAAGCCTTCAAAATTTGGAGGAATTGAAATGTCCTGTTATCTTCAGGAAATAATAACCCCCACCCCCCAGAACAGTCATGATCATGAAAACTATTCACAAAAAAATAGACATTATCAAGGACATTAGGTCTGAAAAGTGAGTTATTTCAATGCGAATTAGGTGCCTATATACCATTGAGGATATGGTCTTCAGGTATTCTTGATTATTCTAGGTTTTGACTTGCAACAAAATAGACCTGAGATAACTGTTTAAGCATGAAGCTTGCATGGCAATTAACTCAAATAAGCCATGATTGTGCCAGTGAAAAATGCTAATTTAGATATTTCAGTGGGACAATGAGCTTGTACATTTTTAGGATGCTAGGATTAAAATCTTTGTTCAGGGATACACCGATCATCTATTTGTAGCCTAAGGGTAAAATCCTATTCCATCTATGAGGTGTCTATGTGTGATCTTGTTCTATGCTGCTTGAGTTAGTAATCAGTCATAATCAGTTATAGTGGGAAACAAAACCAAAAGGTGGGGGCAGAAGCTTCTCTCTAAGGCTGGAAACAGATATCTCATTTGAGGCAGCCCTGATTGATCTAAGTCAAAACCTGGGACAAAAGAGGAGTGGCACAGTCCTTTATACACAGCCCTTTCAAACAGTAGCTGGGGAGAGCATTGAGCCTGACAGGCTTGTCCCTGGAATGATTGGCAATTAACTTGAATGAGCTGCTATTAACTAACAGACATATATAGCTCTGTCTTAGGAAAAAGTGTCAGTATGTTTTATATTGCTTATTGCACAGGTACTTAAAGAGGGACCATGGACTGGTACATGGAACAAAAGGCTTTCTCCTGAGAGAAATGTGATGTCTGTTTACACCCTAAGAGAGGCAATTTGGGGAAACAATCAAATCAGGCTTGCTGGAAGCAAATTACATACTATGTTCTGTTGTTTAGGTTGCTAATGAATGATAACAATGGCTAAGAATCAGAATAATTTTAACCCATATGTATAGATTTCATTCACATACAAGGTGGGGAATTCTACGGCCTGTGCACTGGAAAGCCTGATGCAAGCACCGGTTTATCAGATACATGCTGAAGGACAACACTTAACTGATTTACAGGACTAATTTTCAATTAGTGACCTGGGCCCATATCCTCAGTGGTATATAGGTACCTAGTTCGCATTGAAATAACTCACTTTTCAGTAAGACACAGGCTGTGTCTACATAGCCTCCCTGTTGAGACTGGGACTACTGTTGAGAAATAAGTCCTGCTCACCCACTCCCACTGTGTATACTCAGGACTGGAAATCAGGCTGAACAGAGAGCTTAGAGGTTTGAACCTAAGGTCATGCTCTAACATCATCCCTGGGGAGCTCCTGAGGCAAGGAGCAGAACAGTGTTCCCAGTATTGGCAGGGTGGTAGTAGTAGCATGGACATAGACTCCCAAATGCCTAGAGTCGCTTTGAAAAAGTCTTGGGCTCTACAGTCAGTCAGCCATAGCAACTCTGAATGGATCAATGCTTAAGTATTTTAAAAAGTATGTGAGTGATAGTCAAAAGGTGGTAAAGAAAATACAGCCCATGAAAGAATAAATAACTACTGGGAGAAGGAAGGACGTATTACAATTTTTTACTGAAAAATGAAAATCAGTGATCCTGAAAAATATACTCCTATTTATCCAGGAGCTTTACTTACAAGGTATGTCTCGGTACCCACACTCCAGTGCGTGAAAGTAGTTCATGAACTCCCTCACTGGAATTTTAAAGGTTTCAAACAGACCCATATCTTCAAAAAGCTTGTATGATACCTGAAAAAAGTAAAACCAACATTCGGCTAAGTACACTAAAATGATACCAGAATGAAAAATTAGAGATGACTATAACTAAGTCATGTGATGCACTCCCCCCTTCCATGTACGAGACTGTTCCTACAACTTTTGTCAAGTGTGTAATGGTAACCAGCACTTCCACTGAGCTACACTTTTAGCCATAAACAGCCCAAAATGTTCTAGATACCTCCTTAAAAAACAAAGGCATGAATAATACACTCCTTGTGACTTTTCAGAGGTACAAATAAAAATGTGTGAAAAGCTCCTTCCTAGTTTCTGTCCCAAAAAGCTTACCATAACAAAAACATTTCTATCATTTTAGCAGACAAGCAGTAAGCAGGGGATTTTAGCAGTAAGCAGGGGATGGGAAGAGGAAGGCAAAGCTGACATATATGGACAAACATTTGTGGGTCTAATGATCAAAATCTTGCAGGTGAAATGACGGAAGTAAATGTTCAGAAAGCACAACTGAAGTAAATGAATTCTCAAGTGGCACTTGTCTTGGAAGACAGGATTGTGAAAAATGTTCATGAAAAATCATGGAAGAAGGCATAAAGACATGGTAAATGAGGAGTCAACATGGCTATTGGAGCTGGAAGTAATGGTGGGATGAAAACATTAATAGAGAATTAGGAAAAGAGACCATATCAGGTCTCAGATGATGCAGATAGGGATACTGGATGTGAGGGCATGAAGAAAACAAATGCAGACTTGATATAAAGTGCAATAGGACTTAGTAATGTTAAGTTTATTCAGCTTTCCTCATGAATCAGTTTTGAACCACTCTAATAATTTCCCTTGCTGTTCTCTGAATGTCCTCCAATTTATTGCTGACTTTCTGGTAATGAGATACTGAGAACCACTATATTTAGTCTCACCATAGCTGTATTGATGAAGGTCTTCTGTCTCTGTTCCACGATAGGCTGTATCTGTCTATCATTCCCCAAATCATTTTGGCTTTTGTTTCCATGTAGCATGTAAAAAGAGCCTAAATCAGACTTCAGTCTACCTTTTCCTACAACATGTCAGTTGTATGGAACAGGATTTGCAGTCAATAACACCTAGGGTGTAGTACCCAAACCTGAATTAACTGAAATGTTGAATAACCTTACTGTGCATCACAGTAGAAAGTGGGATCTGAGATGACAAATGTAGGGTCCAAATCTACACAATAACTTCATATCTTTGCATCTGACTTCTGGTCTCAAGTCTCCTTCCTCAGCAAGTGACAGTTTTCCTGCACTCCAACTCCTAGTCCCTGTTCTCCCTTCCCTCATCCTTCTACCAGACTCCTGTCTACTCCCTCTGCCACATCTCCATTCTCAGAATTGGCTTATGTCCCTTCCTACATACCAGCAGCAGGGTCAAGTGAGACAGAGCTCCCTGCTTTCATGAGCACACCTCACAGCAGCCTAGAGCTATATGGAGTCATCAGAGCTTCCAGTAGCAAAGCTCTAACAAGCTTCTACTGCAACGGTGAACTCTTGATTTGCCAAAATTTATAAATCGGCCAGTTCTATCTGGCTTTTCACATGGATGGGCAAAGGGTGATCTCTGATGCAGAAGGATGGGAGGTGAGGAGGTCTCAAAGGAAAAAAAATAGCAGTATATTTTAGTGGGTGCAAAACAATGCATTTTCGCCACTAGCTGCTGTCTTAGAGACATTGAAACCTTTTCAGTTAAAATAAACATGCATAACATTAAAAAAATACAAAAAAGTGGCTTGAGGCAGACACTTGCTTGTAAAACTTTAGCCCAAACAGTTACAGTTTGGACAAGTTGTAGAAGCCATGGAGAACAGGGCCTCAAAGTAAAAAGTTTCAGGCAACTTTGACCCATGGCATAACCCCACGTATTAAAATGAGGTCACTGAATTTTGTCCTAAGGAAGCAGGGATTTTGTCCTTGTGGAGTTGTAAAAGAAAGACAGAAAATATTTTAATGTCATTGTCAATTATGAATAACCCATGTGTAGCAGGACAGGTCATGGGGTGGCCGTGGCACCCCCTAATCCTGCCCACACTTTTGGTCCTCTATGCAACACCCCCTCCCCCCCAGACCAGTTATCTCACCTGCCATACCTTGGTGCTGTTTGATATTAATTGGGAGGCTGCCCCCGAGTCCTGGAGTGCCCTCACTGGTGCTCAGTCTAACCTGACATCTCTCGTGATTGCTGGGACCTCTGCCCACTAGCCAAAACAACACAGTTTTCCACCAGTCTCTCTCACACACCAGCAGACCTTATTGGTGCCTGGCTGGCACTGTGAGTCAGTAGCCACCATCTATGGCTCTAATGACCCTAATTTAAGCTGGCCTCATAGTCATGTCTATACCTCAGAGATGTGACTCAGTCGCTGTTTGCCTTCCTGGATAGGCCTGGTCTTTCCAGTCTCAGCCTCTTGTTGGCCCCAGGCCACCTTGGCTGCCCCTTAGGGCTCATGCTCTGGCCTACTTGGCCTCAGACTGCCTCTGTTGCTCCTTCTGGGTTCAGGCTCTGGTCCTCTCAACTTCAGCCTGCCTATGCCTTGTACACCAGCCCCTGGTAGGACTCAACATAGCGAGCCCCTCCAATATCCCTATGGCCTCCTTTCCTCCCTGATCAGCCACTCCTGGTCCTCCAGTCTAAGCTAGAATAAAAATCTGTAAGTCCCTCCATTGGGTCATCATACTACTACCAGTCCACCTTCCCACATCTAACTCTCCCCACCTTGGGAGTACCTGCCATGGCTTGCAGCACCCGCTCCCTACCAGCCTGAGCTGGCAGGAACTCTCTTGGTACAGCTCAAAGCTACACTGCCCCTCTGCCTCAGGAACCCAGGTTTATATCCTCTGGGCTCTTCCCCCTTCCAGTCAGGTGCTCTCTTGGCCAGCTGCAAGTGTGCCTCCTCACCTCAATGGGCAGCTCGCTGCCTAGGCTGCAGTGGTTCCCTTGCTGCCTTCCGACCTATAGCTACTGCCTGCGGCTCTTTCTGCTGCAGTCTCTTCCTTAGAGTAACAACAGCCCCAGGCTCCCTGTTATACCATGATAATACCATGGCAGGAATTAAACCATCCATCATTCATTTTGGATCAAAGCAGTATAACCCATTCCCTATCATATTTCTAGCTTTGGAGAACTGACGAGTGACAGAAAGGCTCTGCCTGCAAAAAGGTTGAAAGGAGGCTTATCTCCATAGTCTCATTTTAGCACCCTAAAGATAATTCTTCTCTTTTTCACAGAAAATGCAGCTTCCCCCCTACCCCCCAGTTTCTCTCATTACTGGTTAATTGAATAAGTGTTCTCATATTGTATCAGTACATCATCTGTTTGGTGGAGGGCAACAAAAATGGTTTGGAGGTCTTATGAGGAGAGGCTGAGGGTACTGGGAGGCTGCCCCCGAGTCCTGGAGTGCCCTCACTGGTGCTTAGTCTAACCTGACGTCTCTCGTGATCTCTGGGACCTCTGCTCACTAGCCAAAACAACACAATTCTCCACAAGTCCCTCTCACACACCACCCCATGACCCATGAGACTTATGAGGAGAGGCTGAGGGTACTGGGTTTATTTAGTCTGGAGAACAGAAGACTGAGAGGGGGATTTAATAGCAACCTTTAACTACCTGAAGGGGGTTCCAAAGGGATAGAGCTAGACTGCTCTCAGTGGTGACAGATGACAGAACAAGAAGCAAGGGAGGTTTAGGTTGGATTTTATGAAAATCTCTTTCACTAGGAAGGTCGTGAAGCACTGGAGCAGGTTACCCAGAGAAGTGGTGGAATCTCCAACCTTGGAGGCTTTTAAGACCTAGCTTGACAAAGCCCTGACTGGGATAATCTAGTTGGGACTGGTCCTGCTCTGAACAGGGGGTTGGACTAGATGACCTCCTAAGGTCCCTTCCAACCCTAATCTTCTATTATTCTATGATCATGATAGTATTAATACTGGTTTTAAGGAAAAAAAGAAACAAACTTTTATCCCTTTCCAGATATTTTTTTCTGGTAAGGGGTTTGTGTACAGAAAGAAGGATAAAACAAACACTGAAAAAGATTTGATTTTTGGAGTATTTAAATTCCTGGTAACAGTGATCTATGATGCCATGGCAATCAACCATGGTCCTGGTTCAAGGACAAACATTAGCAAGGACAAAGTCTTATTTTTGAGGAATGTTAATAGACGATGAAGATGGCGATAAAGGAATATGAGTGGTATTGCAGAAACAAGAATTTAACTTTTTTGTTAGAACCTATTGGGATTGCTTGTGTACACAAGCGTATTTTAATAAACCAGAGTTTGAATGAGAGCTAACCAATAATTCCTGTTACTTTGCTGCATCTTGCCCTCTCAACTCTATTGGGCAGAGATCAAGAGCTCATGTATTTTCTGTTCCTTGCATTGAGGAATAGTTAGATTTTTAGAAGGTATCCATATATTCATAAGTATAAAGAGCAGTCATTACATTAGATTTGAATATGGGATACCAGAGAGTCTCAATCAGGTGCTATATAAAGGGGGAGGAACAGGTACTAGAAAAGAACCTATTGAACCAATGAACTGAAGCACAATGACTTGCTGAAGTCCTGAAGTTCCTTTCATGGATAATGGTTTTCCTGCGACTGTGATACCTGACATGTCTGATACAGTTCTCATAAATAAGGAAGAATGTGATTACTGACAGGAAATATTAAGATAAGCACAGATACATTTTCCTCTTCTCAAGAGATGTCTACAGCTCTTTTTGAAGATATGGAAACCCAAACAAATTACCATGATGTAAACAGGGGTTTATAGCACAGTAGCTACTCCATGGTAGGGATACTGCTTCATTGGTCAAGGATGATCCTGCAGTCTGTCACTGCTGGGTGCAGGGGGCTGGAATAGATGACCTCATTAGGTCCCTTTTTCCCTACTTTCCTATGATCCTATAATATTAGGAAGGGCAGACAGAGGTCAATACTTTAAGTAAAAAAAATATCCTTCTTAGAACACAGAGTTTGAACAAGACAA